CACTTTTTAAATTCATTTAATAGAGAGATTCATATTTTTCACTGCCCCTCATCTTTACCAATCATAATATCCTTTCCAGGGAATGTTCTTTCTGATAACATGTCCAAAGCATATAATATGAATTCTCACCATCCTTACCTCTAAGTAGCACTCTGACATTACTTCTTCCAAGACAGACTTGTCTGTCCTTTGGCTATCCACGGTATGTGAATATTCTTGGCTAGAACTACAATTCAAACGCACTGATTCTTCTTCAGCCTTCATTTTTCCAACTTTCACATGCACATGAAGCAATTGACAGTAGCATGTTTTGGTTAGGTGAACCCAGTCCTCAAGGTATTATCTTTTCTTTTCAACACCCTAAAGAGGCATTGTTCAGGAGATTTATCTAATGCAATGTAGCTATCAGGTTTGTGTGTGACTTGGGGTTTTTTTTAGTCTGTTTTCTATAAGCTAACCATTTTTCTGGAAGGAGTTAAAGCTTACTCAAACTTGGATTAAGAATTTGATCAAGGAGGGGCCTGGTATCAATCCATCCTTGTTCTTCAACCACCCTGCCTCATAATTCTGAGATTATAACCTGGACGTAAGACCTAGGGGAATGGTGAGCCCTCTATTCCAGCCATACATGATGACTGGGCAGGAAAAAGTCAAAAATAAATTGTGTATTTTTCTAGTAACCTGACTTACAGATTAGTTTTATTAGGGAACTAGCCTACAACTCTGTCAAATAACTGCCACTTCTCAACTCCCTGCATTAGAAACTCACTGGGGCTTGCAAAAGTGTAATGCTAATGATATCCAACTTCCCACTCAGGCTAATGCCTCCCCACTTTATCACAGCACAGCCTCTTCCCGCCACACTCATTTTGTCTTCCTACCATTTAAGCCTCCTGGTGAAGCATGTTTTACAAGCTCATGCCCATATACTAGCTACCCGCCCCCCTTCCTAGAAGCACAAGCAAATAAGCCCTCTCCCACAGTTTGTGTTGTTTGTCATCTGTCAACATTACTTAGCTTGAAACCCATGTTCTGGGCCGAGATGACAGAGTGAATGATAAGTCATCCCTTTCCTTGATCTATCTCATGTACGTTTAAGCTTCTGCCTTCACTTTGCATCTTGGCATCGCCCATCTACCTACCCCTTAGGCATTCCTTGAGTGTAGGGTGCAGTCTTTTACAAAGGCTTTATCATTCGGCATCCTTAAACACAAGAGCTGCAGAGAGGATAAAATAAATATCCCTCTGAGCTTGTTTCCTAGTTAAGGCTGTCTCTGCATTGACCAAGTCACCTCTAGGATTTGCTGCTCAGGTCCCTCTGTCTCTTATTGTCTAATTCTGAAAGAAGTTTCACTGATTACCACACTCTGCTGTGCATATTACTGTGGGCCTTTAATGGACTACTCAACCTTAGTAATTTCTTAACAGACAATAGATATTTTATCCAAGGGGATGCGAAGTGACAAAGTTTGATGAAGAGCTCAGATGGGTTGAAGTTGAACATGATTTATTTTTATCACTTTAGCCAACCATGCCAAGTGTTATGGATTGAGGTGGAGTGTGGTCTGGTAAAAACTTCCTTCATAAAACATTACTTCTGTGATAGTTACATAATCTGGTGTCAATTCGAGAGGATTACAAGTAAAGGGATGGAGTCTGATCGGTCAATCAAGATATAACCAATGAGGCCTCTGTGTGGGCACGACTTTCTGCTGAGAATTCTGGGAGACCCTTTCCTTTCTCTGCTCACTCCCCGAGAGATGTTCTACTGACAAGACACTTGGTGCTATGGCCTGGGAGCTGGAGAAGCCACATGGACCTACCCTGATGTAACCAGACCTCTGGAGCTGGAAAGCCACGTAGAGACCCCTGCCAGTGCTGAGGTGCTTCCAACTTCACTGGATCCACAAGACTTCCAATGGACTGGCCTGTGATCCTCCTGCATGCAACATCATTGCATATATTTTGTGAGTCTGAAGAGGACATTATAGATTGGTATCAGACATATGGGCTAATATTGGACTTATGGACCTAATCTGGACTGGGATGTTTTCTCAATATTCAAGTTCTTTTGTATATAAACCTATTTCTTATATACATGTGAGTGTCTATGAATTTGTTTCTCCTGTCTACCCAGACTAACACATTATGTTACCCTGGGAGTGTGGAACTAGAGAAATGAATCAAAAAGATGGAGATTAGATGTTTATTTGACTTCTGCCTCATGGTAGTGTTTCTTCTCTGGTTAGCCAGAAGTCAGATATGTCCATTTGATCTACTGGATTGTTTTCTGGAAAGAATAGGGGAAGTTAAAATTTTGATTACTACTTTGTTTGGTTGTTGTCTTTGGCTATTCCTTTTGGCGATGATGAAAATGAATGTTAATGAATATTTTGAGTCAGGGGTAGAAATCGCCCCTTTAATTTGTCAGAAACCATGCAGCTTAGGGAAAATGGCTGACAGAAGGTCAAAATGGCTAACAGAAAGCCTGACCGACGAGACTTAATCCCATATTTTTATATCAATGGAATAGTTAGATAAGGATTAAGATAAGAAAAATAAGGATTGAACTTGACTGTTTTAAGAATTGAGTTTAGTATCTGATTCTATTTTATTTATTCTGATTTCTTCTGCTTCTTATTGTTGATATAAGGATTTATAGGAATTATTTTCAAAAGTATGAAAATAGAGAGCTTGTAAACCTACTTTCTTTGAGCCATTCATTTGATCTTTAGATCAGTTTAGGACACACCTGTAAAGAAGGCTCTAAAAGGATAAGCCCCACCCAGTACTTTTGAGTACCCGGGATGTTTGTATTTGAAGAGTCTTGTCTAAGGGCAAGACTCTTGCTGACAAGAGTTGTTGACAGATTGAAGAACGAAAAGTGACTTTTGGGTTTTGAAGTTTGAATGGGTGGTTTTTGTCAGAAGTTGAAAAAATTCTGGAGCCATGAAGAAAATTCCTGTGGGACCAGGTCCGCCTGCAGGGAAGTGAGGGAGACGGAGTCACCAAATGACACATGCACACGACTCCGGAGACCAGGCTTTGATGGCACAGATCTAATTTATTGTTGAATCAAATGTTACTGAGCTTACTTCCTTGTTCTAAAATTTATCCTTATATGGTTATGAAATTGCGCTAATGAGGAAAAGGCAGCAGACTTTGGCCATTGGCTAGTGCATGCAGAGGAATGCAGAAGCAGTTCTTGGAGCCATTTTGTCTCACTGGTTTGCCCAGCGCCATTTTATAGAGAAATGGTTTGCCACTTCTCAGGCCCACTCGAGAAGGCTGAGCAACATTCTGCTCTTTCTACACTGTTCCTCCTTTATGAATTCTAACTCCACAGCCATTACCCCCACAGGTTTTTACTTCTGTAATTCTATTAGAAAAGTCTGTAATATCTGTCTTAGGATTCTCTCTATTGCTTTTCAGTTTGCATGCTTCAGTGAAGCAAATTGCCATGTTATGACAAGGGACTGAATCCTGCCAGTTACCATGTACAGTCGGAAGCTGTCAAATCTTGAAATGATTACAGCTCAGCTCAGCCAATTCCTTGACTGCAGCTTGTGAGAGACCTTGAATAAAGCACCCAGCCAAGCCATGCCCAGATATCTGAGTCATGAAAACCATCAGATAATAGACATTAATGATTAGAAGCCACTGTTTTCTGGCAATTTGCTACATCAAACCAAAAGTTCAAATCCACTGCCCTCAAGGCGATTCTAACTCAGAGCAACCATAAAGAACAATAAATAACTAATAGGAGGTACCCAGAGGTTATGTATTTACTGTCTATGGTAATATTAATATGGCCACAAGTTTTGGGCAGTATTCCCATTCAGAGGTGAATTCTGTATCAATTTTACTTACATCTGGGCAGACTTAAGATTGTTTCCATCAATAAGATACACAGGGAAAAGGGGGGGAAATTTAAAAACAAACAAACAAAGATACACAGAAAGTGATGCAGTGTTGGTTTCCAAGGCTGAGCCATAGAAGGCATTGCAGCTTCTACCTTCAGGACCAAAACACTCACCTTTAAAGCCCTCAAGCTATTAAGCATGAAGTCCAACTACCATGAGGCTGTCTTGCTGTGAGGAAACCCAATTTACATGGAAAAGCCTCATGTAGGCACTCCAGTCCACAGTTAGAGCTGGGCACAAGCACTTGCATATAAGTAATGAACCCTCCAGATGATTCTATATCCCATCCCTTCAAGTCTTCCCATCTGAGTCCAAGTCCTTATATTTCATGAGGAAGAAAGAAGCCATGCTCTGTGTGTCCTGCTTGAATCCCTGACCACTAAGTTACTGAGCATAATGAAGTGATTATTTTACTCTACTGATTTCCAGGATGTTTTGTTTACATTGCAGTAGATAACTGGATCATTGCCAAATGTAATATAGCTTGTAAGTGGTGGAGTTGGAATTTACCTCTAAGTTTACTGATTCTTACTTCAGGATTCTTTGGCCATACCAAATGTTGCCTTTTAAAAATGTAGGGTGTTGAGGTGGTTAGTTTATTGTGCCAACCTGGCCGATAAACACATGTGGGGTTAATTGAAGGGCGCAGGGATAAATGGCTCGGTGAGCCTTGCCTTTTTAGTTCTTGAGTGTAAACTAAGTATTAAGTGTAAACTAAGAACTATCAAATGTTCCCCCACGCAGGGAGGGGACAGATACATTAACTGGCATCTTCAGGCCGCGGGACGCTAAACGAAGTGCTCGCGCGTGTGCTGAAACTTGGACCTACAGAAAGTTTCCGCCTGGGATCGGCTTCTTGGGCTCGGAATTCCGAGGAAAGCGGTCGGTCCAGGGGAAGGTTCGGGGCCAGGTCGAGTCCGTCTTCCTCCCGGGGTAAACGCATCGCCCACCTGGGAGCCTGCTCCGCGCCGCGGGGAGGCAGGACCCTCGGATGCGCCGGACCCAGGCGCCGGGGCCGGGTTTCCGGGCGCCGCACGCTGCCGCGCACCGACCGGAAGTTCCGGTTTGGGGCGGAAGGAGCTGCTTGGTCCCTGCGAGTAGCTGGTTTCGGGAGAAGCACGCCTCGGGAAGATGATTCAGGCCATTCTGGTTTTCAACAACCACGGGAAGCCCCGCCTGGTCCGCTTCTACCAGCGTTTTGTGAGTGCGGCTGGCTTCGCCGCGCCCGGAGGCCCCCTTCCCTCGCTCTCGGCCCACACGGCGCCCAGGGACACCTGGCTGGCTCAGTCCCCTGTCCCTTGCCTCTCACGTTCCTCAACCTCCTACCTGGACTGTACCAGAGCTTTTGTTCCACGGCCCGATGCCTCCATTCTCTCTGACCTCCTCTTGAGCCCCGGCATTTCTGTGCCACTGTGACATAATATATCGATCATATCTCTGTACCCTTGTGTGACGTATATTTGGGTCTCTGGGCGCCAGGTGTAAGCGACAAAGGTGTCTCCTTCGGAACTCTCTGATTGCGTTGGTTGTAAATGTGGTTGTAAACTGTCTTGGAGGCGGCAACAGTCAGATTCCTAACGTTTTTGCTGGAGCTAGGATCTGAAAATGTTAATTCTTGGAATCCCTTGGCTTCAGTGTTGGGTCTGCCTTGGGGACTAGATTCATGCTGTGGAGTTGAAGGTTAAGTGGGAAGATGAGAACTTAAAAGTACTGCCGCGTGAGGACTCAATAAATGATTGGTGGATTTGAATTTTCCAAAAGCGTTGTATGAAAACCACAAATATTATTTCCCTCCTATCCTCTTTGTTTTTATTTCTTAGTGATAAGGATTCCGAATTTTATCTAAGGAGAGGGGAGCTGCTGAAAGAAGACAGAGAAAACCGAGGCTCAGGCTGCAGCCATGTGCCTGACCAGTTCAACTTCTTTCAGATTTTATATCCTCATGTCAATTAGAAATGAAACAATTTTACCTTTTTCATGGGATTTTTATTAGCTAAATTGTGTTTTATTCAGTAAGTTACAGCAAGGTAGAAATGAGTGTTGAATGTAACTATTCACGCTCTGCATTTTTTGTGTAAATTTTCTCATTTTTAAAAAGCTTTTTGGATTTGGGTGAAAGTTTACAGAGTAAAGTGGTTTTCTGTTCAACAATTAATAAACTCTTCATTTCATGGCATTAATTGCAATCCCCACAATATAATAACACTTCCCACTTCCTCTGTGTTTACTGCTTTTTCTTCATTGTTACAAAAACAAGTTTAGTAAGATGTGTCATACAGCACACTCACCTAATTCAAATGTACAATTAAATTATTTTTCACTGTATTCAAAGAGTTGTGCAACCATAGTCACGATCAATTGTAGATCATTTTCTTCAACCCAGAAGAAAACTATATTCTAGCAAGAGGTCATGCTTCAGTCTCCCCTCCCTTAACGTCTGGCAACCCCTAATTTACTCTCTCGATTTCTCTATTCTAGGCATTACGCTTGAATGGAATCAGATGTGGTCTTTTGTAACTGGTATCTTCCACCTAATGATTCACTCATTGAACATAATAATTCAAAGCTCATCCAAATTGTAGCTTAAATAAGCACTTCATTTTCATTGCTGAGCAACATGCCATTATATGAACATACTAGTTTGTTTTTTTATTCACCATTTGCTTATAGGGTTGCTGTGAGGGTTTGGTTTTGATTATATGAGGGCACTTCAAAAAGTGAATCATTGAAATTAAAAGATAATGGATAATGGGTTTTTCTGAGAATATTTTTGAACCCCTTCATATACCTTGGAGTGGAATTGCTGGGTTATATGATAACACTATATATAACTATTTGAGGAACTGCCAAATTGTTTTCCAAAGTGGCTGCAGCATTTTATAATTCCATTTGCAATACATAAAGGTTACAATTTCTCCGAATCCTCACAAGCACTTCCATTATCTGTCGTTTTAATTATAGCCACCGTGTGTGTGATTTACAAATATTTCCCTAATGACAAAGGTGGTGCAATGGCTAAGCACTGATTGCTAACAGGAAGGCCAGTGGTTCCAATCTACCAGCCACTTCTCAGGAGGAAAGACCTGGCTACCTTTCTGTTCTCATGGAGTTATGCCCTCGGAATCCCACAAGAGCAGTTCTACTCTGTCCTGTAGGGTTACCGTAAGTCATGATTGACTTGATGGCAGTGAGTTTGTTTTCTATATCCTCTTATAAGCACAGGAAACGCTAGGGGGCAGCCCTGCACTGCCCTTACGGTTAATATGAGTTGGCATATACTCCGTGGGGAAAACAATGACAAAGGAGTAGTCCCTGGGCATCACAAACAGGCACTGCACATTAGCCCAAAGGGTGGCATAAGAACCAAATGGGCTTTCAATGAAAAGTGCCTTAGAATACTAAAATATGTGAGCATCTCCACACTGAGGAAACACGCCAGCCTGCGTGATCCAAAACTGTAAATATTAAAGTCCAAGATGAGAGGAGAGAGTTGTGTTAGCGCTTACATTCTGAGCACCCAGTTTGCAGAAAGCTTTAAGTGAAAGCAGAAGCCCAAAATCTATTTGCGTAGTTCCAAGGGAATTAAGCCTCCATTGAACTCCTTCAGACCGTTCCAACTAAACTCATTGCTATTGAGTCTATGCTGACTCATAAGGACTCCCTGTGGGTTTCTGAGACTATTTCTGAGAGTAGAAAGCCCAGTCTTCTCCTCTCCCTCAGACCATCGAGATGTGAATAACCTTGCCAGACAGAGGGTTGAAAAGTAGAAAACTGCAGATAAAGTTGGGTTAAAATTTAATACATTATCATTTGTTTTCCCTTTTGACTCACTTTTTATTTTTTCCTAGTTTTTCTTCTTTTGAATTGAGGCTTTCCTATCTTATTTTATTCATTGTTAGATTTTTGTGCGATTTCCTTTTTATGAAATCCAAGATTGGTAATCTATATAAATAATAACTAAATAGTTCCTTAAGGCTATGGCAGGATGGTTGGGGGAGAGTGGGGAGCTAATAATAATGGGTGCATGAGTGAAGAAAATGTTCTGAAACTGATTGTGGTGATTGCACAACTATTTTTTAATATATTTAAACCATTGAATTGTATAGTATATGAATTTAAAAATAATTAAAGTATATGAGAGATTATTAAAATAATTAAGGAATATGAGTAATCGATAGCTTCCTGTTTTGCTGAATGAGAAATTAGATGGCCTCACCATTGCATACCACTTCTCCAGTCTGGTACCACCATTCTGGTACCACCATTCCTTGCTGTCAGATAAAAGATGCGCTTCTGCCACTTTGGAAAAATGCTGATGTATCGCATATCATTAGTTTAGAGTACACCAAGCTAGACTTTTAAAGCATCTTTGCATGTGTGAGCTTTGTGTAGAAACTAGGAAAATAGTGATTGATTGACACAAATTTACAGTGCTCAGTAATTAATAGATTTTCCTTAGAGATTCTCAGGTGATTCTTACGTATTTATCTTGTTTCATTAGAGTTTGTTAAAATGTAGATTCTGATTTAGTTTATCTGAGCTAGAAAAGCAAATTTTCAGCGGGGATCTAACCAGGATAATCTGTTTTGAAGTCCTGGTCCTCAAACCAGCAACATTTGGTACCACCTGGGAACTTTAGAAATGCAATCTCAGGCCTTATCCTCCACCTACTAATACAGAATCTGCATTTTAACACGCTGTCCTGGTGAGACAATGCACAGTAAAGTTTGACAAGTAGTAGTCTAGAGAAGTGGGTCTCAACCTTCCTAATGCCGCCACCCTTTATTACAGTATCTCATGTTGTGGTGACCCCCAACCATAAAATTATTTTCATTGCTACTTCATAACTGTAACTTTGATACTGTTAATGAATCAGGCGACCCCTGTTAAAGGGTCGTTCAACCCCCAAAAGCAACCCACAGGGTGAAAATCACTGGTCTAAAGCTGTTAATTACTTTCTGTCTTCATGACTGTTTCCTCCCGGCCATCTCCTTTACCACACACACCGTGATTCTTAGATAGGAATCAAATGTCAGTTATTATTTGTAGCTGAGCTTTTCATGTGTATTACCAATGAGGCAATTCTGACTCAGTGGTCCTATAGCAGAGTAGAACTCCCTAGGTGGGTTTCTGAGACTGTAAATCCTTAAAGGAATAGAAAGCCTCATTTTTCTCCCAGGGTTGTGTTAGGTTTCTCGAGTGGGTCATACCTCAATTCTTGGCTTCCCATGATGATGAAAAAATTCACACTGAAGCCCATTTTGTAATCCAAGTGTGTTTTTATGAAGAACAGGGCAAGTTTCAGGTTTTACAGTCTCAAAGGATTCACAAGCCTTGAGGAAAAGAGCACCCACATGTGCGGAACTGGGAGATGGTGGAAATTCCAGCGATTAAGGGGTGGACGGGGCAAGAGAGGCTATGGGCCCCATGTAGGCTGGGAGCAGGGGTGCATATGGGCCCAGAGCAGGCCCTGAGGGAGCACCCCTGGGCGGCTTGTGTGTGCCCCAGCCCTCTGACCTGCCACTGACCAGGAGCAGGGTAAAGAGTAAGAGAGGCTGTGGGCCCCTAGTAAGGGCACATGTGCAGGAGACCCTCTTGCCCTGCCACTAGAAGCCAGGTAAGAGAGAGTGGCCTTCCCACAGCTGGGATATTTCAAGCCTCTGGCTGGGGAGGTGTGGTTGATGGTGTTGGTTGACCCCATTGGCTGGGTTGAGCTCACCTGGGTGATATTGAGCCTGGGCCTAGTTTGGATCGCCCAGGTGTATGGGCATGCTTAGTTTGGGGTCATCATAGGTGTCTAATGGTTGCCTGATTTCTTTTCAACCTCCTCTATGGGGGCCTTTGTAGGCATGGGAAGGACAACCCCTGTCCCTAAATCTAGCTACCTAACAGTTGGTGGTTTCAAACTGCTAACCTGTGGTTATCAGCCTAACAAATAACCCACTAGGACACCAGGGCTTCATTCTCATGTGTATAGTAAGTGAATTGATCCCAAACCTATTACCACCTACAATTTTGACTGATAGGGGCCCTCTAGGGTGGAGTAGAGCTGCTCCTTAGGGTTTCCAAGGTTATGAATCCTTAGAGAATCAAACTACCTCACCTTTTTCCTATGGAGCAGTTGGTAGGGTTGAACCACCAACTTAGTGGCCAGCAATCCAACCCTTTCCCACAGAACCACTGGGGCTCCCGTAAGTAAAATATAAATTTGTAACTGCAGTTCTTCAAAATTTGAATCTGTAAGAAGAAAAATTTCTACCTTTATCATCATACTTTATTAGCAACTAGCACAGCTTCTGTGTAGTACCTATATTACTAGTATCAAAGATAGACATTTCCGCTTTTGAAAACATACTTGATTATATCCTGATTTCCTTAAGATTTCAACCTCTTGACATCTGACCTGGCTTAGCTGTTTTCCAGGGCCAGGCCTTGTAGCTATCCTTTGATCTGCATGAGAGTTTATTAATTCTCCCTTCTTTGTTTACCAGCCACAAAGAGTGCCAGCTTACCTATCAGAAAGGTTGTGGTCAATGACCAAGGTATCTAGGAAAATACAGCCTCTTTTAATTCCTATAACAAAACGCCCCACATTTCCTTAGATTTTTATCTCCCCTTGCCATTTTTCTTGTCTTGAGACACTGGCACTTCATCTTCAGCTCATTCCCACCCAGACACTTCACTCCCTGTCTGTTCTCTCTGAAGGGACATCGTTCCACACTTGCCCACCCATTGACTGTACGCCTTTTATTCCATAGCCAGAAGAAATCCAACAGCAAATTGTTCGAGAGACTTTCCATCTAGTCCTCAAGCGGGATGACAACATCTGCAACTTCTTGGAGGGTGGGAGGTAAGCCATCAGCTTCAGTTTTCTCCCCTTAGGTCCACTTTTGGGTGGCCTTCACCATCAAGGAAGCTTGGTGGCGTAGTGAGCTATATACCGAATGCTAACAACAAGTCTCCCATTTGAAATCACCAGCCTCTCTGCGGGAGAAAGATGAGGTTTTTCTATTCCCATAGAGTTAGTGTCGTGGAGGGAGGGTGGGTTGGAAAGGGGGAACTGATTACAGGGATCTACATATAACCTCCTCCATGGGAGACGTCGGACAGTGCAAGATATGACAAAATAATAATTTATAAATTATCAAGAGTTCATGAGGGAGGGGGGGAAATGAGGAGCTGATACCAAGGGCTTAAGTGGAGAGCAAATGTTTTGAGAATGATGAGGGTAACGAATGTACAAATGTGCTTTATACAATTGATGT